CCTTCAGTGTAAATGGAACAGGTAAAGGTTTATTAGATGGCTGTGGAGATTTAACCTATTCCTTTGTAGCCTATGATTGCTGACACAGCTACCTACTTGAACTTCAGTGTAAATGACTCTTCAAATTTAGTTTGGATATAGGGTTTCTTCAGTTTGTAAGTGTATTTCATTCAGACCTTTCAGTTCAGATTGTTACCGGAAAAATGCTAGTTTCAGCAGATATTTCTGTAAAGTCTAAAGTTGTTGACCACTGGAATCAGATAGTCGAGAAAATTGGTGATCTAATAGAAAAACATCCCCTAGAAAGATAAGGAACATCTGACATCCCTTTCTTCAGCACTAAATATTTTACTTATTTTTTAAGACATTTCAGAAAATGTTTCTGTTGCCCAGAAACCTAGACACACTAGACACACCCTTGAACTGAAAGCTTTTGTAATGCTTAAATTTGAAAAAAAATCTCAGGTGATCTTTTTTTGTACATTTTCAGGAGAGAATATTTTTCTGTGCTTGACAAAGTAAGGAAGAAATAAGATACATACAGGTTTATTTAGGAATTAATTAGTAATGAATATCTGGGAGTTTGTTAGTGTAATAAAATGTCATTGTGTGACTCCAGCAATATATTAGTATGATTTACAAATTGGGAAAAAAAAGAATGTATGTCACTAACTCCACACTGACAAAGACTCTGATAATGTATCTTAATGATTTTAAAGAACACACGGCCAGAAGCTCACGAAGAATTCACTCCCTCTCTGTCTCAAGAACATGCTGAGTTTCATTGCTTCACATTAGTTTGTGTGAAAGTGGTATTGCTTTTTCATCCGTCCTTCGGATGAGACATAAAACCGAGGTCCTGACTCTCTGTGGTCATTAAAATCCCAGGGTGTTTCTCAAAAAGAGTAGGGGTGTAACCCCGGCGTCCTGGCCAAATTTCCCATTGGCCCTTACCAATCATGGCCTCCTAATAATCTCCATCTATGAATTGGCTTCATTACTCTGCTCTCCTCCCCACTGATAGCTGATGTGTGGTGAGCGTTCTGGCGCACTATGGCTGCCGTCGCATCATCCAGGTGGGGCTGCACATTGGTGGTGGTGGAGGGGAGTCCCCATTACCTGTAAAGTGCTTTGAGTGGAGTGTCCAGAAAAGTGCTATATAAGTGTAAGCAATTATTATTATTATTATTATTATTATAACCTAAAACCAATACATAGGATAAAATATGACAAAGAAAATTGTCACTCTGAACATGAGGTCTGTGTTGATCTCCATCACCACTTGAGAATTATCTGAAGGCTTCCAGACTTCCTGTCAAGATTTTGTCTTGTGCTTTGTCAGAAAATTCTAAATCAGTAGCTGCTGTCATCTGCCCATCCCGGAGGTTAATTAGTGTGCTTGTTATTTCTTGATTATCTTGACAGATAACACTGGCATTCTGTCTTCTTTTTTTTTTGTGTGTGTGAATTTAGTCACACGCCTGAAATATCGCACTCGACAAACTGTTCAAGGATTAAACACAGAATGGCAAACAAATAACACCGATGTTTAAAAAAGGCTGAATTCTAGCAATGAGATGCTTTGATCTGGTAAGATATGGAGTGAAAAGTAAGGTTATCTGAAGTAAATCATTCCTTAAAATCATTTGAGGGGAGAAAATACATTTTCTCCGGTTGTGGCAGTGTTTAGATTTTTCTCTCACATCATGAAACCGATTCAGCTGTCTGTCTCTTCCCTCCATGCCTTCTTCCTGGCATGGTTGTAAGCTGGTGTAGAACAAACTCAGCCTCCGCCTGTTACCTTCTGAACATGCCAATATTCCCTCAGAGACAGACCTCCGCCCCCTCAGAAACCCACATGCCCGAAACGTTTTCTGCATTAAGGAGGATTTGCACCTGTTATGTGTTTTGCGGCAAAATTAGTTTCCGTAAGAGGTTAAGAGATACTATACTTACATTCAAATGGTCTTAAATATGTGAAAGTGTTTTAAAATCTTAAAATGGTAGTTTTTTTTATAATTACAGATGCCTCAATTGCTGTGAAGGCTTTCAAATGTGAATTCTGCCACTCAAAAATAAAATCAAGTGTTCTTGGGCTTTATCTATATAATATACAGCATATAGGGTAGTAATTCATGGTATAATGACTGTGATAAAAGAAGTTTGTTTACATCTGATGCAGTTGAGTGCAGTGCCATTTAATCCCTGTAATTCTAACTTCACTTTCTTTTCTGGAAACAATTTTATGTAAAACTGTAAGATACTTAAGTAAAATGCCAAGGGTCAAAGGTTAGTCTTTAAGGAATCAAATTGGACACTGATGATTCATCTCAAGGTTATGAGTTTTACTCTGATTGCTAAGAGCAGAAGCAGTAGTAGTAACAGCACGGCAATTATGCATAATAGAACTAGTTTTTTTTTTACTGTATGTTGTGTTATCAGAAACAATCATACACCTTTTATTTAAACAGTACTTCAGATAAGTAGTATATGCGGTTTATACATTTTTAAAGGAAGTGTTTTTAAGTATCGTTGTTAAAGTCTGGATTTAAAAAGCTGGCCCTGTAGGAAGATTTCTTGTCCTTGGGCTGTGTTGTTATCATTGTATTTCCTGAAATAAACTGTCAGCGCAAAAGGTCCACAGGTGCACCTCCGGGAAGCAGAATGAAAGAACTTTAAATGCCTAAAGGCCTTTTTATTTGTTTATATATTTTTCATTCACTATGAAGACACCCACAGTGCTCTATGTTCTCCTTCAGTAAATTTATACTTTAAACTTAAATGCTGCTTAAAGATGTTTAAAAATACAGTGTTTAGGCTGGTAGCCTGCAAGCACTGGTTGTATTAAAGTAGTTAAAAAATTATTGAGGGACACAGATTACAAACAAAATGTGTTTAATCTTAGACTTATTAATGTAAGAATATATATTTTTAAATAGTAGTAAAAAAAATCTAGAATTAAAAAAAAAATGTTTACAAATGAGAGGAGGTAGTTCAGCCCATCTAGCCCATTTGGTAGTAACTAATTAATCCAAAGATTAATTTCTTGTTTCTTGAAGGAAGCCACAGTAATGGCTTCAACATCGCCATGTAGCCTATTTCACACTCCAACAACCTTAAAGCTAAAGAGTGCTCCCTGTTCTCAGTTTTAAATACACTTCCACATCGTTTCCACTTATGTACTTTGGTTCATGTCTTCTTACTCATTCTAAAGAACTCTATTGGGTTGACTTCGTTGGGGTCTTTGAGGAATTTTAATATTTGGTGCAGTTCCCATGTTATTAATTATTAAATATATTGTTATTTTTATTAACCCTGTTTTTTCTCATTTTAAATCAGAGCCTTTTGTGTCGTTTTATTGTATATGCTTTGAAAATGTTTCCCAGAAGAGAGCACAACTTGTTAATATTTCTGAATATAGAGGTGACAGTTCGAAGCCTCCTATGCTAGCATTTTCATTCAGATCAGCCAGACAAAAATATGGCTTATTTAGGAGCTGCCTTAAATGTTTGCCCATAATGTGGGTTCTTAAGGAAAGGTCTACACATGCCCTAATAATCACTACTCCCAGACAACTTAATATAATTTAAGTAAGTCAAGGGCTGTTATTAGTTATGGTACTTTCTATCCCATCAGTATCACAGTATTTAAGTGTCTGATGTTGGTGAACTCTCTCAGAAAAGTGCCAGTACGAAGACCTGTCATGTGTAGTTAATGCTTTCCTAGATTAATTTTGATTCCCAAACAGTACAGTATTATTTAGTGACGTCAAAATGCAAAGCATCCCTAATTCAAAGGGCATTTGTCATTAGCGTATGGAGCGCAGTGAGATCTACATCTTTGGTGTATGGAAAATTTACAAGGTATAGATGACTGGTGAATATGGCTCCATTTGAAAATAATTTGTAGCCTCAGCAGAATGTAAATGCTGTCCTGTAAAAACTACAGTAAGGTAATAAAAAAGTTATTTCCCTAAAGAGAAAAGGCCGTGGACTATGCAAAAGATATTGTTGGACATGGTTTCTGAGAAGGCTGTCAATGGTGCAATAGGCGAATGGAAGCAGTACAGGACGGTCTGATATAGTATTGATTGAGCTCTGTTATAGAGAGGGTAACGAGGGGGGTTCTATATTGCATTGTCAGAAATGAATAAATTAATTGGGACATCCCATTATGTGGTGATAAACAAAGGGCAGGAGATGGCAGCACAGAAGCAGCTTCAGTGACAGCTCACTAATGCCACATGCCAAAGCGTGAAGACATCCTTAGTGTCTGAACATAATGTGTTCTAATAGCCTTGAAGGGGGCAGAGATTACAGTGGCTGACAGGCAATTTTACTACTCATAGACGTTAGAGAGTTTCATTAGAGTTGAATCCATGGAAGGAGTGGGGGGAGAGTATTCAACAGGAGAATGTGCTTAACGGGTGTTCGGTAAATCGTGTTCTCAAGGTTAAATAGAATGTTAATTAAATAGTTAATGAAGCTTCTTTATGTAAAAAATATAAACTAAGGAGTCTATTCTGTTGATTGATTGCAATGAGATTTACACAGAATTAAAAAGAGGAACTGGAAACTGGCTGTTGAAGGAAGCTCACAGAGAAAGTGAAAGGCCGTAGACTTGAACAGTGATTGTCATACTGCCATTCTCATATTGTCTTCCTCATATTCCTTGTACTGCAAAATATTAGAGCATAAGAGCAGACACTTTTAGGACTGATGAGACATTTAACCTTTTTTAACTGAAGGGGAAAAGAGAAAAACGTGAAACTATTGGGACTCTGTTCTGATTTAACATCTTACAGTTGTTAGTTTAGCCTGTTTTGCTTTAGAATTATGGACATCAGTGGCTACAAACAGTGTTGGTTTGTAAAAGTGAAAAAGTTGTCTTTTTTTTCCCAATTTGCTTTCCTCCTACGATTTGTTTATTTCCACCTTTAATTTCTGTGAGAATTCTGGCAAGCACTTGTGTGACGGGCAGTGTAACTGCTTCGTTTGCAGCTACCCTTTGACAGCAGTGTCCCCGCTGAACAACACAGAGCTGCAGCAGTACAGCATAGAGGAGAACGGTGGGACGCCCTACAGTGGGAAGGTGAGCGGGCGATGTCACCACCACCACCATCACCACCATCACCATGGATACGGGATGGTCACCACGGACAGCAAAGAGGCACTGGCAGCTGTACAGTGTGGAAGCAGTGAGTCTCTCCCGGTTTTTATCAGCCTTTCTTATAACTCCAAAGCAAACTTCACCCCATCCTAGTATCCTTCAAAGCAGTGATGCATACCACAGGTAGCTAAATGTGCTACCTCCCATCTTTGCATCCAGTCAACTCCTTTCCTCCTCATAACTTTATTGGTGGGTGGTGCCCAGCTAGAGAATCCTAGAGACGTCTCCTGGTCTATATCTGCTGTGCAATGACCTTTTACTCTCTTAGCAAATGTTGTCTCTCTGGGTCTCTAGCCATGTTATGGAATGCATGCTCTTGCACATATACAGGGTCCTATTAATGTGCAGCATACTCACTTTTTACCATTTGTTGATTATTGGAACTCCCATTATGAATTAAAATCATCCATTCTTAGGACGATACTTGTTCCTGGTAAGGGTTGTAGCAACCTATAGTTTATCATGAAGCACAGGGTACAAGAAAAGACAGAACACACACAGCCGTGAACATACTGTAGGTGTGACTTAGAGATGGCAGTTAACCCAGCTTTAATGTCTTTGAAAGGTGGTAAGAAAACAGAGCGTCCGGTAAAAGGTCATGCAATCGTATGTAGAACATGCAAACTCCTGACAGAAGGGTATTCAGGCTGGAATCAAACCCAGGACCCTAGAGTTGTGAGACAGCAATGCTAACCTCACTGTAGAAACCTTGTGTTAATGCAAACCAATGAAATTCAGAAATAGTAGTCAGAACCTAAAAATTGCCTTGGGTTCACATCTTGTAAAGAGCATTTATTTGGTATTTTAAGCCACTTTCTTTGTTTATGTGCTTCAGTATGGAAATTACAGTGCTTTGCTCCTGTAAGAGCATTTGAATTGCTTGTATCTGATGCTTTGTGGTTATGTGGATTTTAACTTGGAACTCTTCATTCAATTCCTGTAGCCTTTGACTATGCAACATCAATTAGTCAATTAATTATTTTTTTTTGCACCCGTAATGCCCTGAGAAAAGAGCAGAAAGGCTTCTTGTCAGCAAATTGAGACACAACAGAGCTAGCAGTCACAACCTGAATGAAAAATGACCACCTCTACAGAGAAATTACTCTTTAATATTAGGAGAACTTGTACTGAGTGAGTTGGTGTAGCATAACATACCCCAATAGGTTGTGGGTTAAATTCCCAACTACAGACACTGCTGTTGTACCTTGAATGAGGTACTTTACCCCAGTTGCTACAGTCCACCCAGAAAATGAGAAAAAAAAAAGTTTTTTATTGGCACATTGTCCACATTTTCTAGATAATATGGGAAAGCAAGACAAAGGGCAACAGTAAGTTAGGGCCCATATTGTAGTTTAAATTGTGTAATTTAAGAATTTAAGCCAAGAGAGGTTGTGTTACAAATTGTACAATGCAATAATGTGAATGTTGCATTGTACAATGTTTAACCTCTCTTAAATTCTCGTTATATTAATTTATCTCATGATCAGCTATATCGTTAATAGTTTCTTTAGATACGCGATTCCATATTATATTCCCTTTTAATCAAATTCTAAAAGTATGCTTGTTGACTCAGGTATCACGTTAGTTAAAGACTTCGATGCTTAAAATGTTTAGGGAGAAATGGAATACTGGTGTGTATTTTTTCTTTAAAGTACCGAGACCAGCCATATACTGTATGTTTATGTTCCAAAATTAATATCGTTTATGGCCTTCACATGCGTTACAGTATGCTCCTATTCTTTTTATGCTCAGCTACTAAGATTTCCCTTCAGTGGTAAAATTCCATATAAATATTCAATACTAAAACAGGCACAGTAAAGACATTAAATATTTCTACGACCGACCAACGAGTGCCCCTGTCGGTCAACCAATCACGTACCGCAGTATTTTGCTTCATGGTACGTGAGGCCGTAGCCAATTACCTGCAGTACGTGTCTTTGCATCGTACTTTGAATGGCTGCATCTGTAGCAACTAACTATTAAAGAATTTAGATGATTTAAAGTTTGTAACCTTTCTTACGTTCTAAAACAAACTGAACATTGTCATTGTGTTAGTGTTTTTTTCTTTGTGTACACAAATGGAGTCTAAAATACATTTTTATTTCAAGGAAAAATGGTGATTATATTTCCTTAAAAAAAAGCATTATTTGTACCACACAACAAGAATAAATGGGAATCTGTAATACTGTAGCATTGTATAAACATTTTCAGACCTTACTCCGAAATTATTTAACCATAATAAAAAGAGATGTGGATTGTACAGAAAAGAGTGAAAGCAAAATACATTGTACAGTATGTGATTCAGCTTGTGATTAAATACAAATTAATGGCAAATACAGAGTGTAGTTGCGGGTATTGGTGTTGAGCTGAAATTTGGCTATTGGGTCCAAACAGTAGTGTTGCTATAGTACATTGCTCGTTTAACTTTCTGTCAAATTCACCAGCTTTTTTCAATGTGAATTTCTAAAGAAGCTTAAGAACTATATACTGAATAACTGAGTGGGAGTAAGCACAGGTCAATATAGATTCATCACACTCACAGTGTTTTAAAACATCAGATATGTTGTCTTCCACATAAAGCATAATCCCACTATTCATGTGTCTTTTCTTTTAGATATTGCAACTGCTAAAAAAAAATTAATTTCTCAATTTAAATGAAACATCATATCAGTAAAATGTAATATTAGGATTTTAAATTAAACATGGCACATACCTCAATGCTGTAACAGGGAATGATCTTTTAAAATCTTATTGAGGGAAAAGTCATATTGTTTCTGAAATTTACATCAGTGTGTTTCAGGGATGGCACAGAAGTTGAAATTAACCAATGCTAATGTGTCATTTAAGCTTCTTAGCTCAAATTCCAAATTAAATGAGATCGTATTGCTGTTGTGCTCGATGTTTGTCTTCTGACATAAATTGTTTAACTAACTTTGGGTAAACTGGAGTGGGGTCAGAATACAAACAACACAATTATGCCGATTGAACAGCATAATTCTGGTTCCATGAAAAGAAATAAAGTCATTATTTCTAAGGAAGGGGCTTCTGTCAGTGTCTCTCTGCTGAGTAAATAATTACAAAGGTAGCCATTCAGTCCCTGTCACATTACCCAGTACCCTTTTTTTTTTTCGAGGGAGGATGAGCTCCTGAAAAGTATCCAAGCTGTCATACTATAAATCAGGAGAGCAAGATGCCAGGGATCAAAGTGATGTAGGGTAACTAAGGGACTCAGAGGCAGACTTCAGGACCATAGATTCAACAGAAGATAGTAGCATTAACATTGCTGGACAAACCTTGAGGAAATTAAATGAATTATATGGAAGGAGATTCCCATGTTGCCTCCAGACAGTGGTCTGCAATGAATGCCCTATCTTAGAAGACCTTGCAGGCCATTGGAAGATGAAGGCAGGGGCTCTTGTGGGCCACACAGGCAGTCTCTGTGAACCACCCAAACAACTGCTTCTAAGAGAGGTTGATATGCTTCACTCAGTGAAACCTGGGTTTAAACGTCACGTGGATGAAACGGAGCTGGGCAGTTTTCAGACAAAAGAAAGAGAAAAAGAAAGAACGTTGCCTGGTGTTGCCTAAAAGCTTGCGTTGGCCTCAGGCAGCTCTGCCAAGTCCTCTTGTTGACTTTGGTCTATGTACCGTGTGTCACCTTGAGGTCCAGCCTTTAAGTAGGCAAGGGAACTCAGTTTGTTCTGGCAATAGCTTTTCAGAATATGCTGGGATTTTCTGGATGTCGACAAATAAAAAAGAATCCAACTGTCTTATTTCTTTAATCAGACAAAAATAACAGCGGATTTGCAAACACAAGATTTCTTCGATTTCAGAGTGAATATCTTGATTAGAATTCTATGCTTTACTGACTCTCTCTCTTGGTCTGGCTTCTTAGAGAGGTTTAAGGCCTAACCTGCTCTGCTTGCAGACCTTTACAACAACTAGTTGTTGTAAAAGTCAGTTTGTCAGTTTAGATGGAAAAAGATTGACAAGATTGACAAGTCAGTGGGTTTACGGACAAAAGTTTGTTTGTTAGGTTACAGGTTATATTGGGCAACATCACTGGTTGGTGATTGGCTGAAAGGCCATCCGGTATAGTTCTGGTACCCACCCTACAGATCACTCATTGGTGGATCTTACTTTGGGTGATTGACCATACTCTGTGACTTTTAAGATCATATCTAGATGTGCCTATGGCTCTCTGCTACACATCCAGGCACCAGCTGTACATCATCATGGGAGTTTAGAACGTTACTGTACCAGGGAAGACCATTATCCCAAAGTCAGACTCATCTCCTTTAATTTCCCACCTCCAAAGACTATTAGGTCATTCTGTGGCTGAGATCACACAGAGTGGATATCTTTAGCTGCATTCCTGTGCTTTCACACAGACAGGCACCAGGCTGCTTGTCTTAGAAATACTTAATAACCTTCATTCTAAGTTAAATAATAGGCCTTGTGCTACGGTACAGTATACTGTACATACCCTACTACATACACTACATACCCTAATGGAGCACGTTTGATGGAAAAGCTGCTGGAACTCTGAATTGTAAAGTACTTCAAGGCCTACAGTGTCACCAATTGGCAGATGTGAAAGACAGCTGGGATCTGAGACGCAAAGTGTCCGAAGAGCTATCAGGGTTTATGAAGATTAAGTACTGACTCTCAGGGCCTTGAGTTTTCCCACTATGAGACCTATGAAAAGGGCAGGAAGAAGAAACCATAGGCTCAAAGTAGACCATAAGAATACTGGGAGATCCCACCCGAGGTGAATGTGGTTTCACGGACACTGTATGATCCTGCAGTAGGATTGTGAAGCCAAGTAGTGTAAAATTACTGACTCATGTTCATTTTGTCATGGCAACCTGATTTGGTTTCCAGGTATAATGAGCTGGCAGGAAAAAGGGTCCCAGCTATGTCAGCTATGGCTCCCACCTTTTAGTTCTATATAACATAGAAATATGTTTGACCAGTCCTTGAGGGCTGGACTGCATTGCAAAATCTAGGAACCTTAGCAAACCCTCA